TGGCCAGGTTCATCGGTTTGCTATAAATAGTAAGGAGTGTATTTTGCCACCTTTCGTGGCCAGATGCACTCGTTTCGTTTTCGTTTCGTGCGCCGTGGGGCGAGGCCCTGCATCCTACAACCAACCCGCCAAAACACGTCGCACCCAACAAAATCGTGTTCCAATTTTTTTTATTTTTCTTTTATTTTTAATCGTGTTCAAGGGAGCAAAACCGTAGACGACGAAACTCGCATTGTAATGACATCAAAAAGGCCGCCGGACGTACTCGTCCTCCGGCAGCATGTTCCCACTTGCAACGGGGATAGGATTAAGATCCTGAATCTGGGCGTGTTTTAGGCAGAGATGCAGAAAAGGAGTCCAATCTCGATTTTCTGCACTTGTCCACAAACGCGGTCAGATTCAGGCGTTCAATCCAATCCTCTTTGCTAATGGGACCATGCTCCGAAAGGTGGCAAATCTCCACAACCTGCCCCGTGCAATCTTTTGGGATTTTGTTCCCCATCGAAAAAAGATTATTCCCCATCGAAAAAACAGCGAGTCTTGCAGAGTACCCTTAATGGGCCTCGCTGCACTACTCTCGTCGACATGCACAAAAGACAAAAATGTTGGCCGTGTATCTTTCCATATTCTAGCGGAAGATTCACTCTCGTTTTGCGCATTTCGAGACTACCGTAGTGCAGCGAGGCCCTTGATGTACCATCAAAGAGATTAGCACACAACAGCAGAGCAGAGCAGTCCTCAGATCGCCACGAAACGATGGAGGAAATGAAAGAGAAGTACATAAATTTCGATCAATGGTAGAATAATAATATTTTATGGCATATTTACTTTTGAATCAAGTGAAAGAAAAGTGAAATGAAACATACAGGACGCCGAACTTCGTTTGTCTGGGGTCTTATTATTAGCGCCTCGCCATACCACCGTCGAAATGAAAAACGAACGAATGAGTCTTTCCCGCGGAGGACGGCAAGATGCATCCGTTACTACGAATAGCAATGGATGGATGCATCTTTCCACTTTCTGCGGCAGATGCATTCCTTCTGTTTCCGTTTCGACAGTGGGTGTGGCAGGCACACGTCTCCAGATCGGCGCAGTAATTCCTGATATATAGAAAATACGAAGGATTCCTTGCCAATGTGTCGTCCTACTTCCCCCGAATACAACGCACGGTCATTATAGCTGAATTTGGGGTATCTTTCAGTCTAATACAGCTATAATGACCGTACGTTGTTTTCGGGGGAAGAAGGTAGGAATCACGCACACAGCACAGGACGGTGAACAACATCACATATGCATCCGCCAGGCAGAACCAAAAAATTCACAAAGAGTACCAACTGGCCTTGCTCCGTGAGCGGTACAGACGTGTAAAAAAAAAAAAAAAAAAAAAAAAAAAACAGACGTGAGTACGAAATCCACCGAGAAAAAAAAAAATAAAAAAAAATCCACCAAGCAGATTGATTAAATGCTGCAAAATTCTGAATTACTGATTGCCGGTGAATTCGCTGATGATGTTATTATCTCAAGGCCGTCGCCATTTCCCACAAAGGAAAGAACGAGGGAAGGGAGGGAAAAAAAAAAATAGAGAAGATCCAGACAGCAGAGACCCAATCCGACAATAAACAGCGCAACAAGAATAAGCAATCATCAATCGAAGATAAATCCTGTTTCTCCGCCGTCTTGTGCCCGCCCGCGCAGTGGAGAGGCAAGGCAAGGCAAGGCATTGCATTCACCCCCCCTCCCCCAAGTAGCGCTGCGCACCCACAGGAACGTCCCACCCACTGCACAAGACTAAGCAATCATCAATTCGAAGGTAAATCCTGTTTCTCCGCCTTCTTGTGCCCGCCCGCGCAGTGGAGAGGCAATTCAAGGCAATGCATTCCCCCCCCCCCCCCCCCCCCCCCCCCCCCCCCCCCCCCCCCCCCCCCCCCCCCCCCCCCCCCCCCAAGTAGCGCTGCGCACCCACAGGAACGTCCCACCCACTGCACAAGACTAAGCAATCATCAATTCGAAGGTAAATCCTGTTTCTCCGCCTTCTTGTGCCCGCCCGCGCAGTGGAGAGGCAATTCAAGGCAATGCATTCCCCCCCTCCCTCCCCCCTCCCTACGCACCCAGAGGAACGTCCCCCACGCCTGCACACAACCAGCAAATCGGCGAATTTCCTCCCCCCTTTCGCAACACCTTCCCGAATTCCAATTTCCTCAGCACCAAAAAATTAAGGAAAAAAAAAATGTACGCAAACTCCTCGGGAGGCTACTCCCCTTCCCGCATCGCATTCATCGTCCACAAGCAGATAAACCTTTTTCAAATCAACTCGCTAAGCTCCGTCTCCTCTTCCCCTTCTATCGCATACACGCACAGAGAAAGTGGTTCTCTCACATTCCGCCCCTCTCGCTCAAAGGCAAGGTTCTCTCTCTCACACTCCCCCTCTCCCTCTCTGGCAAGGTTCCCTCTGTCACTCGCATGCATAGAACACAACTCACGAAGCTCTTTTTCATCAGACACGCCGACAAGGCAAGGATTCTCTCTCTGACCTCCCCCTCTCCCTCGTAGGCAAGCGTCTCTCTCACTCCCCCCCTGTCGCTCCAAGGCACAGAACACCCAGTCGAGAACCTATTTTTCATCACCCACGGAGATGAAGCACACATTCAAAAAATCAAGTCGCCAAGCTCCTCTTCTATTGGCCAGTTCGCTTCCATCAGAAACGCACACGGAGGAAAAAGTTCTCTCATTGCCCCTCTCGCTCGAACGCACACGGAGGAAAGCAGCTGAGCAACGCACACGGAGGAAAGCAGCTGAGCAACGAAAAGCAGACGCTCACCGACTCACACAGGCGAGACAAGTCGCTTGCGGACACACCTCACCACCCGCCAGTTCCCCCTCTCACACATATAGGGGACTCGACAGCAGGGGAGATTGGTCTTATTGCCAAATATAGAACGAATATGATATTTACAAACACGACATCATGTCAGCGGAAAGGACTTTCAAGAACCAATCCATTACCGCCATGGTCGTCTTCTCCTCATACGCCACTTCCGACTAAGTGACGACTGTCCCCTACTACCGAAAGAACACCTACTCCTCCCCTCATCTCCCCATCTCTCTCCCTCTCTCTCTCTCCCACACACACACACGCACACACACACACACAATTGAATAGATGACAGTGTAAGAAACAGACATCCCATCACTTCCAGCGAAGTGCAGACGGCTGTTCTCAAGTACCGAGGAAAAAGGTCTACTCCTTTCTCTCCACACACACACACACACACACACACACACTTTTGATTAGAAGACAGCAAGAAACTGATAGGAAATCAGGAGTGCGAAATGGCTCTCCAAAGAGACGAACTCGTTGGGATGCCACACACCGAGAACCAAATCTTCACATCACAGAGAAACAGTAGCAGCCACGCAACAACATCTCACCCTCACCTCCCTCCTGATGCCCACCTGCCTGCTCATCCCCGTTGTCGCCGCCCGCTACAAAGAATTGATCAAAGAAATGGTGTGTCCATACACTCGTTCTGCAGATCTACTCGTGTGGGCGCACTTCGCACGCACGCGAATATGGCGCCCCCCCCCCAAGACCCAAAGCCCCGCCAATGAAACCGCGAATTAGCAGGAGTAAGAACTAACTGCCAATGACTCTATCGTTGTTGATCATATGACCGATGAAAGGACAGCGCTCTTCGCGCTTATACTAGAGCAACGATGACGACAAATTCTCGCGGGCTCGACTGGACAACGCTCTTCGCACTTATGCGACGACACGACGGCGAGAACGACGCCCAGTCGAGAGGAGGTGATTCCCAAGCACTTCACTCCAGCCGCTACCAGTCCAGAACGCATACACCACCTACATTTCATGAAAAAAAAAAAAAATAGCACATGGCTCACTGCTAAAAAAAAAAACAAATACTGTTACACTTCTTCCACCCATAGTCCGTGGGACGGGAATGCTAGAAAAACAAAAGACCAAGAGCTACACACCACGTTTTTCCGCCCACAATCGGCCGGGAGCGCCGAAAGCAAGACGACGAGGTACGCCAGATTTTACACCCTCCCAAAGTACCTGTGACGTGAATACTCGAAAAACACAAGACCCACACACCAATCCCAATGATTAAAGAACCGACTTCTACAGCATTGGCATGTGCGAATGACGAAAACCAACATGCCCACACTCGCCGGCCTCCCAAGCCGGTCGTTCTACATCTACTGTCTAAAACAATCCGACAACACATCGACCGTACCCAGCACGCATAGGAAGCAAACAGAACACACTCTGTAATATACAATGCACCCAACTGTATCCTTCCTCTCAGGCGCTCCCCGCCCACCCCCTTTCCCCTTCGGCCCCCGCCGTCTCCCCCTAAAACGCCTACTCCCTTCTTCCCTTCTCCTCTCCCCCCCCCCCCGCCCCAAACATACACATGCATCATACGTTCTTCATCGCACCAACTGCAGTACCAACTTCACTCCCCGTCCTCCCATGAACCTCAGTTCCCAGCAATACACCTTTCTCAAGAGTCCGAAGAATCTTGCACGACTCCAACGACTTCCGCATCCCCAACACAACCGTACACGATCGCCACCGTACTCCACAGAGTCCTGAACACTTGGCACGAACAACTCCAAGATTTGCGAGTCCCTACAACAATTCATACGATCTTCATACGATCTTCCATCCCTCCTCACACACCATAATTGATCTCTCCCGTTCTCCTGAAACTCAGTTGCGCCCTTGGAACTCAGTTGCGCCGATTGACTTTAATCAAGAGTTCGATCGAGGCTCGGCCTGACTCAGACGAAGATTTGCGCATCCCCTACATTGGGTGTGCGATACCATCGTTCAGTTCATCCCTCCCCGGACGGACTGAAGTCACACCCTTAACCAATTCCCCCCACCAACCCCGGGTCCAATCTGGAAATCCGCCTTGGCGTCCGTCATCTTCTTGACATTGAGTCTGGTAAAGCTGGCAAGCGACGACTCCACTCTGCGACCTAGCAGTCTGCCGCCGCAGCGATTCCCGCTCTTTAAGCCGCTGATGAAGCCGATCCCGACGTAGAGGCGCGTGAGGGCGGCGATGAGTCTGCGGGGGAAGACGCTGGTACCGTGAGTTCTGCTTCTGCGACACAGCAACGGTGAGAGTACATGGCGGCGCGAGACTGCTGAATCATCTGGTCCGACGTTTCTTCCGCTGAAGGTTGGCCCGACCCGAAAGCCTTCGGGTTAAGCAAGATCAGCTCGAATCCCTCTTCCGTCACGCCACGATGGCAGCCGTCATACGGCGACCTGTGGTTAGCTGTGGCTAGCTCCTGTATCATCTCAGGCAGGAAACTGTGCTTCCACGCAGCGTCCGTACTCTTAGCCGTGCACGTGAACACGCGATATGCTTCCTTCTTCCTCTTCTCCCAGCCCACGTCCTTCGCCAACTGTTCCATACTAATCGACGCCGCGACGAACGTCTTGAAGTTCATCTTGTCCACTGCCGACGCGTTCATGCCATCGGCAATTGCCATAAGACGGCGGAACGCGGTCGACAACGACAGAGGTCTGCCGCCGTCCGAACCGGCGGCGGACACCTGGCAGCTCCGCCTCCCCGCCGTCAGCGCAGCGCTGTCCCCCGCGGTACCTGGGCGCATTGTCCGGCAGAGCGCCCTCTTGAAATCCTCAACGTTCACGAACCCATCGGCGTCAGAGTCCAAGAGATCAAACTGACTTCTCTGGTACGTCAACTCATTTTCCTTCAAGGTGTCCGCCACCGCTTGCAACGCGTCTCTTCCCGCGGGATCCATCCAGGAGAAATCTTGCACGGCCGAGATCAGCCGCGTGTCCAGCGGCACGTCCTTAGGAGGAGGAGCGTGAAACAGGGACGAGCTGTCATTGGCAGCAGCCGAACTGGTCATCATCCACGGGTGGCAGAGCGCCTGGACAGCGCTGATCCTCTCGCGACAGTCCTTCGTCAGAAGCTTCTTGATGAAATCGATGCACAGGGGGGAGACTGCCCCCCACTGTTCCTCCTCGAAACGCGGATCTGCCTCAAGAACAGCCTCAAAGACCTGCGACTCGGACCGCGCGAAGAACGGACGACCGCCGCACAGAAGTGTGTAGCAGATCACGCCCACGCTCCACAAATCGGCTTCTACGCCGTACGATTGCTTCAAGACCTCCGGGGCCACGTAGTACGCGCTGCCGACGATATCCGACAGTCGAGCACCCGGAGGGACGAACTCCGACAGGCCGAAGTCGATCACCTTGAGCGTGGCCTCTTCGTCTGCGGTGGCGAACAGGAAGTTCTCCGGCTTCAAGTCCCTATGAACGACTCCCTGGGCGTGGAACCACGCCAAAATTTTCAGCATCTGTCGAATCACGGGCTTGGCCGCCTGCTCGGTATAAACACCGCCGCGGGCCAACATTCTGTCCAGAAGCTCCCCCCCCAAGCACAACTCCATCACAATGTACACATTCGTGCTGTCTTCCAGCGCCTCGTAGAACCTTATGACGTTGTCGTGTCCCACGAGGGCTTTCATTATCATCACCTCCCTCGTCACATCTTCCACGGCCTCCTTCGTCTTCAGTCTCGCTTTCGGTATCACCTTGACGGCCACGCGCTCCCCCTTTCTCTCCCCCTTCTTGACCGTCGCTGCGCATGTGTGCCCGAAATGTCCCCTCCCCACTTCATACTCCAGATCGTACTTCGATATATCCCTCCCAAAGCCGAGCCACGTGTCCACGGGAAACTTATCGCAGCACGAATTCTTGCGCTTCGCGCAGGCGACATGGTTTTCCCTCCCGTTGGCACCGCGGAATCCCGCCACAGAGGACTGACGATGATGACGCTGAAAATGATGACACGTCTCTTTCAAAATGCGAGTTAAACCCGCTTCTTTCTTCTTCTTGTCCCGAGGGAAGTAGCTCTCTGGATGGGTCGACACACAATTCCCCATCGTTGCCCGATACGATACGAAACACTGCACTAAACAGGATAGAGAAAGATAATAGAAGTAGCAACAAAATCAAACAGAGAGAGAACACGTTCTCGTGAAGGATAGGTATAATACCTGAGATCCGCCCTCAAGGGCAGGACCTGCTCAACCCACCGCAGAAATCTTTCTACGCCCAGGTTGAGCGCTCAAATCCCTTCTCGTCCCTCGTCAGCCGAGATACTCTCTCTCCTTGATGTTGCCAGAAATCCTCAATTCTGGACACGGCCTATGGACATCCGGGAAAAGAAACGATAGATACTATTACTCCAACTCAGCTCAGGAAGAGCGCGACCATATATACTGGAAGCACATTGAGAGAGAGCGTGCGAAATGGCAGCATTTTTTTGCAGTATATCCGTATTAGAATGTACACGTGTTCGGTCAGAGCGGCTGATATCGGGGTCAGTATGGGTACACGCAGAAGAGAGATCGCCCTGAGATAAACGGGGATAGTTTGAGGCAGACAAAGAAACACAGGTCGAGAGTGAGAACAGTAAAAACAACAAACTCAATGGGAGAAAAAAACTCGTGCCGCCTTCTCTCGTAGACGAAAAAACACACTAACTACGTCATCGTCTGCGCTGTGATTACTAACAGCCTAATACCTCAAAGGAGTCCTCCGATAGGAAAAATGAGGACTCCTAGGACTCCTTCCTTAAAAAAAGGAATTCACCAAACACCGCAAAAAAGACTCGGGTTGAGAAAAGCCCATCTACTACTCTGTCACTAAGACAACAAATGAAATCGGAATGAAAATTGACAACAAATGAAATCGAAATCAAAATCAAACGCCAACCATCATCATCACTCGCTACTCGCGATCCGTAAAGGATTACATAACTCCTCTTCCTCCTTTGCCTTCACAAAGCACGACAACACACCCGAAGTACAGATGCCAGCTTCTCAGACAGTCGCCCGCCATGTGGCGATGAAAGCTCTCTTTCTTCCTCGACGGAAGCACACCAATGCACACTCACGTTCGTTCACAAGATGAATCTCCCCCCTTCGATTGCACCCTCAGCACCACACCACAGAAAGCGCAGTCTCAAGAAGAGCGCGACGGCAGTGTTAAGAAACAGCGCCGACGGTTTCCGAGAGGGAGCGACAGCTATTCACCTTTCCATTTACCCCGCCCGTACCAGCATCCAGACTGCACTCCCCCTCTGACGGCGGACCACGGTGAGCGCAAGGCGCAACAAGCGGCGCAACAATGACCACGCACGGCCGACGAACGAGAGAAGCGGTCATTCGATCCCAAGGACACCATCCCCACAATTCAGATACCCCGGCAATAACTGTGAAATCAATCAGAAGGCCACGGAAAGCCCGCCCGCCCTACTTCTCCTCTTCTTACCTCCTCTTCTTACCTCCTCTTCTTACCTCCTCTTCTTACCTACCTCTTCTTGCCTCTTCTTACCTCTTCTTACCTCTTCTTACACGACGGACAGGGCGCTCACGTGCCGAAACCGCAGTTCTCCCACCAGCGCCGCCAGCACCAGAATCGCTGATACTGTGCTTCGGTCACGAAAGGCTGCACAATCATCTTCTTCCTGACACGCACCTTCCACAACCCACCAGGCGAGCTGGAAGTGTCCGTTCCTGACGGCGGAAAGACTCTCACAAGTGACGCCACTGCTTCACCTCCGCCAACGAGCCAGCTCTTCTCCTGAACACCACCCTCCTTCCTCCTCGGCTCCGTCGCGGCCCGGTGTGCGCGACACCGGGTTCAGATATGAGACGACGGGCAACGGCAGCTCACAGCACCGCACGCAACAGAATCATTCACTCGATCGCTCTGCCAACTTCTTTAAATGGAAGTCGTCGTTCCCGATGCCGCCGCTCCTTGCGCGTTTCTTTCTTGCCCGCCCTGCCGCTGGCACAGTGCGCTCGCTCGCAGATTGCTAAAGGAGCACTTGTACAACTTGCACCCACAGACAGAAGCAGGACAAAAAAGGACTGCAGATAGACCGAGCAGCCAGCAGCAAACAGCACAACGGCGACTCTCACGATGTTGACGTCAACAGATCGACCCTACCAGCCAGCAAAATCGCGCCCGCCGCGTGCACTTTCCGTCTTACCGGGCACGTTCAGAACAACTTTCCTGAACAGCGCAGTTTCTCCCAGCCTTCACTCGGGGAAGATTTCCGTCAGCGACCGCGACAACACCTTCGCAAGGCCGCCGTAGGGGACCACCACAGCAAAAGCGGCGTACGAACCGACCTTGACAAGTTTCTCCACTGCACACTTCTTCCAGTCTACGCTAGCGCACACCTACCACCAGGTAGCACTCGAGTGCTAAAAGCTCCGTCCCGCGCAAAGACGTAAGAATCGGTTCCGTGCAAAGACGTAGGCGCACGGCACGCGCACACACACGCAACGCATGTGCAAACAAATCGCCTAGCGCTGCCCGCGCGACTCCAAATCGACGGGCATACAGTAGCTTACTTCGTGGTCAATCATCAGCCTCGCTGCTTTGTGGTCAATCATCCACTACCACGCGGCTGAGATCGATCATGCGCATCACAGTAGCTTACTATCTTACGCGCAGATGTGCGAATGTACAAGTAGAGGCTCCTAGTACTAACTTAAATCTCTCCCCTCTTCTCTCTCTCCTCCCCTTCCGTTTCCAAACAGTGAAACAATAGTGTATGTTCTCTTATCCCCTTCCACTTAACCGCGTTTGCCTCTCAGCAAGGACATCTCATCTCAACCACAGCAGCTGTTCTCATACATACCCCCTTCCACTCAACCCAGTTTGCCTCTCAGAAAGGACATCTCAACCACAGCAGCAGTTCATCGATGGGGCACCACGATCACGCATTGCCAACCCGCTTCATCGTCCATCTGCTCATCGCCCAACATAGACCCATCGCCCGACAAGAGCGGGGCGTAATGCCGTGAAGAGCTCATTCCAGACTAGGACGTACACCCATCAACGTTCCACAGAGATGAGAGAAGTTCGTTCGATCACAAGACTCAGGGCAACAGCAACAGCAACGGCAACAGCAGTGGTGGCTGGCTGGCCACGGACGAAGTGCGCTTTTGCCGCACCTACGACGATGGCAAACCCACACTCGGACTAATAAGATGGCCTGGAATCGTTAACACCATTTATTTACTTACGTTACGGACAGTCTAGGGAAAAGGCGGGCGCGAGGGACGGGACAGTCGCTCATCGACGAATGTGTGCACCGGAACATTGCGGTTCGGTACGGCGCCGTCGGGGGGACGGACGACGGCAAAAAATAACGATAACGACACCTTCGCGCCGTCAGCCCTGTTTGATGTTTGATTTCATCAAGTCTCCGGAAGCCCGAGCCCTTCTCAACAGGGCCTCGCCACACCACCGTTGTCGAAACGAAAACCGAACGAATGCATCTTCCTGTGTGGAAGGGAAAGATGCGTCCGTCCTATGAATAGCAGCAACGGATGGATGCATACTGCCACTTGCTGGGGCAGATGCATTCGTTCTCTTTTCGTTTCGACAGCGGCCTGGCGAGGTCGCACGCCCACAGTCCATGTGCTGTCAGCAGGCGATTGGCGAGGCGAATGAGCTCGTATCCTACGTGGCACCGCACTCTCTTCTCCATTCAGGTGCTCGCCGCACTGATCAGCAAATGCACAAAAGACAAAAATTATCCCTGTGTATTTGTCCGTGTTATTGCGGTATATTCATTCCCAATTTGCACATTTGGTGAGCGGTGCGGCAAGGCCCTCAGTTTCCGTGCGAGCTTGTCGACTGTTTCCCGCAGCCATCATCCGTGGCATTTGCGTGTCATCCTTTGTCCAGTGGCCACGCAGATGTCCCGAAGGGCTTCGGTTCTTTTTTGCTGCTGTCTTTTCTTTGTTCGATTGTTTTTCAGGGACCGATGCCTGGTCACATAGGCGTTACAAGCATGATGACCTTCGGTCGCGTGAACATGAACGAGGCGAATGCCGAATGTGAGAAAAGACGAGTCGAATTAGGCAATAGCAAGGCCCTATCTGTCCCGCTTGTCCCGAACGATACGCTCGCCTATTTTACGCAATTGTGCGGCGAACCGTGTGTCGTTCTGCATGTGACGGCGGACCTAGCAAACCTGCCCAAACTACCAGCCAGCCGTGCCAAACCCGACAATTGCCCGGTTGCAGAGAGGCGGAGGGGGGCACTTGCCAACCAAACCACCAGCCACCCGCCTAAACGGCCGTAAGTTTCCGTGCTTGTTGCCGACCATGCCTGTACTGGCCATCTTTTTCCCCTTACACAAATTCGCAGCCCTTAGGCTGCGGTATAGTGGGCTTCCGCGTCTGTGTCAAGGTGTCGCATTTTTGGCGGCGGGCGAACAGGACGCAAAGTGGGTTCTTAGGGGGCAAAAAAATTTGGGGGACCAGTCCTTGCCAAAATTGCGGACTACCTACAGCTAGCTCTGGTAGAACCGGGACTTTTGGAAAAACGAAGGACCGGCCCTCGGGTGGAAGTGGACCCCAAAAAGAAGTGGGGGCCATTGGACCGGTCCTCGGGTAGAAGCGGACCCCAAAAAGAAGTGAGGGCATGTGAACTACAAACGGGCCCTCAGGCCCAGGCGTTGAGCCCCGTCTTCTCAAAACAGGGAGGTCAGGCACAACGAAACAGGCATTTTGCAAGAGGCAACTTTGGCGATTTTCTGTGCTCAGACGAACATGCACAAAAATCTGAAATTTTGAGAATCCATAGATGAGGTCGTGTTCTTTCCAGAAATAATAATAGAACATTTTTTAAAAATCATTTAGACTGCGAAATAATTGTCGCGCCGATTCAGCACATTTTCCATTTTTGCCACTCAGCCATGCCTGGGCCAACTAAAAAAGTACTCCAAATTCAGCGAGTTTTTGTGCTCAGAAGAATGCATGAAAAAACCTGAAAATTGGAGTACTCGTAGATTTTGTTGTGATCTTTCCAGGAAAAACGCTAAATAAATTAAACAAAATCATTCCAACTGCGAAATAGATTGCGGCCGCAATTTGACCCATATTTCAATTTTGCCATTCAGTCTCTCTCTCTCTCTCTCTCTCTCTCTCTCTCTCTNCTCTCTCTCTCTCTCTCTCTCTCTCTCTCTCTCTCTCTCTCTCTCTCTCTCTCTCTCGTGTTAGCTCTTAGTCTCATTGATTTGGATACCTTAGGGCTGCGTTCCCCGCGCCCACGCGGTAGACAATATATATACCGAACATTCGGCCGGGGTCCAGCGGAACCCCGAACGTTCAACTTTTGGGGACCGTCCAACCTCCGGTTCGGCCTCCGCCGAAGCCCGAAAGTGCACCCGGAGCACGGTTCCACTAGCAAAGGAGTAAGGTAAACTGTGTCACACAAACACCTGTGGGACATCTGCGGGACAGAGTCCGACCACTGATGCAGGAGAATCGGATGGCAGCGAAATTGCGAGGGATTTATATTCTGAAGTGGTGTTTTTTTTTGTTCTATATTCTTCTCTCAACTTCTGTTTTTGCCTTTCACTACCTACTCCTAAGGCTATCTAGAGGGGACCCCTGCAAGCGTAGTTTCCTCTCACTGTGAAGGGGATGTTTCATGTTGCCCCTTGCCCCTAATGTTTAGGGTATAGGGTTGGTTCCCAAGAATGGGATTCGGCAGGCAACGTCATGTGGAATGTGATGGAACTGTTATCCAATGGGTTTCGGAAGGTAGAGAGATGGCGTAGCGAAGGGTCGTCGAACACCCTGGCTCTGCTGGGAGAAGAAACGATCAGAATATGGGATAATCCGGCACAGGTCCGCGTGGTGGAGGCAAAGAACAGGGGCCCCACTACCCAGGTTCTGGTCCTGAACTGGGTGGGCAAGTCTCCCCTACGACAGTTGTGCATCGATCCTCTGGCCTGGGGATGGAAGGAGAAACAGCAAGGAGTGTCAGCCCCAAGCCTGATGGACTACTCGGTGTCATATGGCTATCAGCTATCTCAGGCGCAGCTGAAAAAGTCAGCGCATATTGCAATACCAAGATGGCAGGCTGTGTGGAGCGGAGACCTATCAGCCGCAGAACCTGAGTTTGAGAAACTGTGGAAAACCTTATCCTCTCTTCCGAATGGAAAACAGGTGAGCATCCTTTGGTTACTCTCCCTTATGGTGACGCCCTCGGCGGTCTGGTTGACAAGTAAGGGGATGGAGGTCAATCTGGGCTGCACAAGGTGCAGATGGCCCTTCGAGTCTACCAGACATCTGTGGTGGGACTGTTCAGCCGTGAAGAGGGTGTGGAACTGGTGGGCCCACCACCGGAGAGACTTTGGGGGGCAGCATGTGGTCTGGGAGGAGAAATGGGTTTTGTTGGGCTTTCTGCCAACTGGAGTGAGTGGGCTCTGGGGATGGGGCTACATAGCTCATGTGATAAGGGGTCTGGTCTGTGAGATCATTTGGATGGACAGAAACAAATCTCGTTTTCATAAGAAGCCCCTCTCAGACGCGGAAATCAAAAGACTCTTTAAGCAAGGGTTGAGGCAAGCTATCCGGGTAGACTGGAGGAGAAAAACTCGTGCAGGTAGAGGAAGCGCGAATCAGCTCCAGTGGTTCCGCAGCACCTGGGCAAAGCTGCACCAAATTCTGGAAATTCACCCAACGAAGGGACTGATTTTCCCAAGTTGGGTGATGGAGGCCAAGAACACAGAGTGAATAGGCAGTGGTAGTACAAACCAGGACACTCGGTTATGTAGGGTCGAGGTAGACCCTTAGGAGAGTGTCTGTATGTGTAGGTGTAGGAATAGGACCGCAGGCCGGTCCTCTGGGCCGTGTTAGTCCCAGAAACATAGTTAGCTCATAGTCTACTTTCGCAGGTCCCTCTTCAGAAATTATGCAGGAAGTGCTACTCTTTCAGATATATACAGTGTTCCTAAGAAGTAGTAAATAGAGGCTTAAGGGACAGTTTCTTATGATGGACATAGCAAATTAAGAAGAGGAATATCTACTGCAAAGTAAACTAAAGTTCATTTGAAGAACTTCGCAGGTCTTCAACCTGTAAGCTAAGCTGGCTGATGATGTCAGATACCCCGGGTTGATTTGTGAGGTCTCCGGCCTCGTAACACACTGAGTAATGAATTGAGTACTGATTCGGATTAAAATAAATAAATAAATAGAAAGACTCAGGCTGGGACCCCACAGGCTGGCGGTTCTCGCTGCGAGCCTCCCCCAAGCAGTTCAGCAGACCCAACAGGTTGGAGAAAGTGGCCGGAAAGAGTACGCCAGGGCGTTTCCACTCGGTCCACGGCCTCGTCTGGCCTATGTGGACCGTGCCTCCTCCGGGAAAAACTGCCCACCTTGGGGACCTCTTCCGTCGCCAGCGGAGTCTGGGAGAGCGATGAACCAGCGGACAACGGTGTGGTCCACCTGGGAACACGAGGTTGGAGGTCTGTGAGGAGGTCGTTTCACACGAAAGGGCGTTTTTGTCCGTTGGCCTCTGGCCAGTGGGAAGGACGCATCCTTTTTGAATTCAAATTCAAAAAGGTTGCGGGGAGGGGGCGGCGCGCTGCGGTGGGACAGCGGGCGGGGATGAAGGTGTCTAGGGACACGGGTCCATGGGTGTTTGGATAGAGCCGTGTGTGGCACCTGCAGATGTGTGCCCCGAGTGTGTCATGTATATCGTCACGCTCCTCCGAGGCTCGTACAACATGGGCTCGGCGAGCCTACGTCCCTGCAGAGAGCAGACCCATGCAGACAATGCAATTTTTGTTGCCGTTAAGTGCTGCCATCGATGGTCCTCTGCCCCATCCTCGTCTTTTGTGGTTGCCATGCACGTGTACATGCGATTCATGCGTCGCTCGGTTACGTGACTATGGAGTCGGGCGGGCTCAAGACCCACGTTTTTTGCTGATGGCCGGCGGATGTTCTGGGAGGGATGTCGACGAGCT